AGCTAGCAGGAGCATTGATCTCTTAGAATTTCTTATCAAGTACATTTCATTTCATCTGATATGTTGTGTTGTGATTCCAAACTCTCCTAGGAAGAAGTGAACAAAAACATGGAGACACCTAATTTCTTTCGAACTAATAAGTAATTGCTAGGCATTTATTATTCGGAGGTAACGGCATGCCTTTAAGTAAGACTTAGATGAGACTAAAGTTAACTATGTATTAATTATGCAACAGACCGCAGCCTGCAAGTAACTCTCGCTGCAGGTTGAACATATCAGACAATCTGGTTGAATTGATTTTTTTTTCTTTTTATATTTATATAAACAATTGATCAAGTTCATCCTTGAATAAACTCATTTTAGCTTTGTTTTTAATTTTCTTAGATCAAAGTTGAATTGACTCATTAAATCTGGCAACAGATTTTATCAAACGTGCACCAGCCCAACGAATGAGATCCGAGCCCAACCATTGTAATTAAAACTATATATAGATGGATTAATTTTAAGGTTTTTTTTTTTTTTCATTCAAAGACATTCTTAGTTACTCCCCCACGCCTAATAAATTTAATTTTGACACCAGCCAGCTATATCAAAAGATGACTTTGCCAAAAGAAACCACTGGCTCTTGGGCGGTGGTTTCTCTCAAGACCCTCGTGATGCTGGGTATTTTTTTTTTTTTTAGCAAAAAGAAAGTAGAAAAATCTTAAGTTAGGTTAATTATTTGTCATGTAAAGATTTCATTACATATACACGTAGCCTCTAAATGTAGTTAGAGTACACGAGGATGGAATATTAGGTTTCCGGCAGAATTAATACTATGTGCTACTTTTCCTTTCATGTCAAAACCTGAAATTAAATGGTTCGTGTGGGTGAAATCAAGTGCAATTTTCTTGAACATCGACTCACTTGTTAAACGATGATGATCTTTTGACATGAACTATAAAAAATCATGAAACTATCGCGGCCTATAACCACCTAAAAACAAATTATATATATATATAAGATATCATGTTTTTATTTATTAAATTTAGTATATCCAAGGGTTCAAATGTTGTAGATATTGTTCTCATTAATTATTTTACAATTCATAAGATATAGTGCTATGCCCTCCTCTAATCCAGCCTTTATATAATAATAATAATAATAATAATAATAATAATAATAATAATAATAATAATAATAATAATAATAATAATAATAATAATAATACTAATAATAATAATAATAATAAAAGAAGATATAAACAATATGAAACTATAATAAAACTTCAGCTATCAACATAAAATTTAAAATTTTGAATTGATAATTTTTTTTAATGTTGTAATATAGCATTTTTTACTAAGTGGACAAAAATTCTCGTCAAATTAAAATTAAATTTACATATAAAAAAATGTAAATTAATCTATGCAAATTTCAATCCTAATAAGTGTAAGAATTTATTGCTAGCTTTTAGTTTCCATCAAATAATTGTTAAAGATACGTTACGTTATATAATTCTTTTTTAATTTTTCCTCTTTAATTGACTGTGAAAACCCACAAGTTTAGGACAAACAACACATAGGCCGAGTAATTATTGTATCCATACATTTTTGTTTTTTAGAGAAGTTGTGGTTTTTACACCCACATGCATGCTGTTGATCACAATTATATTTTAAGTGGGATGAAAGTGAGAGAACTTAAACAAAATTAAATTAAATTGAAAAGTCATATATATATACTCAATCATTAAATTAAATAACGGAGGAAAACTCGGGATCTTGAGACACTGCTAGCTTGTCATAAAGCCCTGTGTATCTATCTAAATTTGAAAATGAGTTTTTGTTTTTGTTTTGTATATTAATTTTCTGGTTGAATGGACTATTCGACAGGACCCTCCGATGGAATTTGTTGACCGCATCAAAATGCTGCCGAAGTCTAAATTTTTCTGGTTGAGTGGACTATGCAGTTTGATTAAATTACAAGATCGATCGTTTTTCAAATGAAATTCAAGAACTAGATTGGTATGGAAGCCAGACATCACAATAATCAAATCGATTCTTTTGTTAGAAAAGAAAATCCTTTCTTTTCTCAATAATCAAATCGAAGTTGAAGGTTGAGGACGTAATTATTGGAGCTTGGAACTCTTGACACTAGTAATTAATTTTACTTTTGTGCACAGAATTATTCTACTCTCTTTTCATCATTAATTTTCTTAAGCCAATGTTGCTCGCCCTGGTCAATTATTTCTGGACTCGCGCAGAATATTCGTCTATATATAATTTGAGAGGGAGGCCCCTCCGAGACGGAAAATATGCTAAGCAATTCCCATCAATTGGATTTGACAAGGAAACCATGAAGTACAAGAACCGAGCAACAAATTGTTTTATACAATCTCTAATACCAATACTGACAACTGTCATCTTTATAAATTCAAATACGGTAATGTATTAATTGCTATTAATTTGATCTAATATAAATTTGAAGTTAAATTAAAGTTAATTAGTCACTGCCTTAAACCGGGATGAGGTATCCATTCTCCTTCCTTTTAAGAAACTACGATATCAGGTACACTGGTACAGTAGTTTTCCTATTCTACAAATACTTGTATTAAATTCATATAATCACGCGCGGACCCGAATCTTATACCCCATTATTTATTAATTAAAATACTAAAATGAAATATTTCCTTACAAAATTAAGTTGAAGAAAAATGATAAGTCTATCAATTTTAAAACATTATAAAAAAAATTATATATAATTAATTAATTAAATTCAACTTATGCATGCGAAGACGCGCAGCTAATTTTGAATAAAGATGGGAGTCAAGGCAGTAGTTAATAGTTATAATATCCTTTTAGACTTGCTAGCTCTAGTCTATTTGGGTCTTTATTTAGTTCATTTCCTCACTAATATATATGCATCCCGCAGTTTTATAATGTTTTTTCAATTTTCAAATGCTGGCCCATGCCAAAACCAGCCGTAAGGTCAAGATGGAGCACATCCAATGGAGTTGTTCTTCTTAGTCAGCGACTGACCATCGCTCAAGTTTCTTGTAATTAAATGGTGTTCCGAGCTTTGTCTAGCTAGTTATCTTCTTAATCTAAATATTATCTTTGGGCATTTAACTTTCATAATCATGATCTTGGAACAATTTTCCTAAACCAACTCCCAGGCCGAATTCCATATCTGACATTCTATATGTTTCAAGAGAGGCAAAGTCTATGGCTGACAACCTTGCTTAACAAGGGGTGAATAGAGTGTGAGTTTCAGGCTTGGATTTGAAACTGGTATGGCTCCTCTCCACAATTTGCTTCTTCTAGGGTATTATTGTTCATGACTACTGTTGTGCATTAGGTTATGGAAATGGCAATTGCTAGGAGATTGAAATGAGAAGGCCTAGCTATCTGTTTGTTTTAATTGTATGCTGGATTTATAAAACTCACAACCCTTTGGGATGCTTGTCCAGCCTTTAACAGGCTTTATTTTGCTTGTAAAAATAATAATAAAAAATCCATATCTGACATGGGTTCTTGATATTTGCTAATAATTGAAAATAAATTATATCTTAACTTTTATAGAGGACGATTCTCCGATCAAATTATAACTAAACCCGGTATGGTGATTCAATTGGCTTTTTTTCTTTCCGGCGTACAAATTAGCACATCGCACTTGCATATCTGAGAAAACTCATCACCAATTGGTTCTCAGTGTTATTTTTCTCTTTTTAGTCCTCTTATGACTCTTATACAAGCTAGCTCTCTTATGCGCTTGCCTCGGATTTCTGGTAGTGTTCTTTAGGGCCTTCTTACTCTGCTCTGTCAGATCAAGGGAAGGAATGAGAAGAATCGCCTTTTCCAACTCACTCTTATCCTATTAGTAGAACTGCTAGTCTTCTAAGCCTGCTAAAAGTGTTCAAATAACACGAACATTCTCTTGTCCAGGTGCCCCGTCAATTAGAGCAGTCGAGTTTGGCGTGGTTTTCGTTAGGTGTGGATTCTTATAATTAATTTGGAGTAATATGTCAAGATTAAAATCATAATTAACAAGAGAATTAGGGCGTAGCAAATGTACTCCTACACTCACAAAGACCCAAGAGAAATCGAAGAGTTGTTGACATGGGTGCCAGGGTAAGGAGTCTTCGATAAAGAAAGACAAAACCCGTGATTCTCGACGCAAAGCCAGTACGGGGGGCATACATTTTTCCAAGTTAAGTTGTGTGTGATGACTGATGAGTGACAGCCAGCGAAGTTTGATAGGGATATCCTCCATTGATTGATGAGCTATGGTATTCTTTTTTGCACACATGCGCATAATGTTCAGCAATTTTTCTTGCCTTAATTTCTCTCCTATATATCATTAATTTGTAGCAAACGCAGCATGCCTTCCTCGATCTACGAGTCACAGGCTGACCATATGAGCATAACTTTTTCTTTGAGAATTAATGCCATAAAGAAAACCTTTCAAATAAGTTCATAGAAATTCCATTACATTATGCATCATTAGAGGTCCCAATTATATAGAAACATGAGTTTGAAGAATAGAAAAAAAGAAAAAGCTACTTCTATGTATCATATTATGCTGTCCAAATTCACCGAGCCTCGGCAATTAATGAACCATGCTAATAAATAAACTATGACTCAATTATTTATATATAGAGTGTGTGTGTGTGTGTGTGTGTATAAATTTACTTATTATATTTTTTAACTTGTGATTCTCAGAGGCATTGTTCAATTATTTTTTATAGTATTTTTTAAAAGAGTTATTCAAGCTGATCATGAGTATATACTCTCTTTTTTTAATCAAAATTTGATAAATACCGAATATTTTGAAGAAGAATTATAAATACAAGCTATTGTACATGCTAAATGCCATTCTCCACGCACACGTATTCAATTATCTATCATTCATTCATCTACATGCATACATACATGGTATAATAAATGCATGACAAACTACATTATATATGCATGTATGTCATAAATAAGTATAAAAAGTAGACAAGCTATTAGCAAGACAGTTCAAAGAGTCAGCTAGAGCTACATATTCAAGGGCTAGGGTTTTGAATTCCAAGTCTTGTAAATATTAATTATTATTACCGATGCTTATCTGATTTTATTCCTAAAGTGTGTGTGTGTGTGTCTATATATATATATATATATATATCCATTTCCTCTGCCCTCAGGTAAGAAAGATATTGAAACTGAAACATCAAAAGTCATTTTATAAGACGACACTAAAATTCCTAATCACTGTTTCTTGATCATTCACATAGAATTGATAAGGAAGACAGCTAAGCTACGAAAGATGAAGGGAAGTGATAGTTTTGAAGGCTCTAAGTCAAGCTATTCTGACGAAAAAGTTGGACAAGATGAAGGTGATGAGGAGGAGGTGGATGGAATTAATTTTAAATCAAAAAATGAAGGACAGAGCACAAGCAACAGCTCAATTGAAGAAAATAAAAAGAAGGCAGCTAATGGATCCTTTCGGCAATATATTCGTTCTAAGATGCCAAGGCTCCGATGGACGCCGGATCTTCATCTTTGCTTTGTTCATGCTGTTGAAAGACTAGGAGGACAAGACAGTTAGTACTTGGTTACAACTCTAGTCATCTTCTTTTTTCTATTTGGTTTTTTTCGTTAAATGATTTAATTTGTTCTTGTTCATTGATAACGGGAGAATTCTAAGAGGAATTTGCTTCTGATGGGTGGCATTAACTGTATTGATCTGTGCAGGAGCAACACCAAAGCTTGTTCTTCAGATGATGAATATTAAAGACCTTAACATTGCTCATGTGAAAAGCCATCTTCAGGTATTTTCATCTATGGTATTACACAAGTAACAGTGTTTATTGATGTATTTAGCCTGATTTCCCTAATTAATTTTGCGCATGTATTGTTTGGTTAGATGTACAGAAGCAAGAGGAGTGAGGATCCCGGTCAAGGTAAATTATTCATTGATCCTTTTCTTTTTATCAAAGAAGTAAGCTTTCCTGTGCAAATAGAGAGAGAATTAGGGTTTCTCTAGGGGGATGTACTCTCCCTGACTTAGGAGATATTCTTGATAGGCCAAGGGCTTTTATTCGAAGGCGGGGATAACCCTATCTGCAACCTTAGGCAACTTGCCATGCCACAAGATTTCAATCAAAGATCTCCTTTCAATTTAAGGTATGGAAATCTTAACTCCTTATACTCCTACTCCAATAATTAACCAATTTGAGATTCTAATAATTGGTATATCCTAACTATGATCTCTTTCTCTCTCTCCCTCTTTCTCCCGCCTTCAAGATATGGAGATGCTTCTTGGATAGGTCATGACCACATGATGTGCAGTGCTTATATGGGAGGAACTGCACTCAATAGAGTCAAACATGGACTGTATGGCTCAGAAATTGGATGTAACAATCACAATTCACTTAATTATGGTTCGAGTGTCCACATTCCTTCTCTGAATGGGAAAGTTACAGGTAGAACTCATCAATCTCTTGAAGCGGTCCAGTTGTTCCAAGTATCCCAACAGAATGAAAGTACACCCAGCTCAATGGAGTCCGATTTCATAACCAAGTTGCAAGAGAGATCAGGAATATTAGATCAAGTGGATTTTTTGAACACCTCTAGTTGCGCTGACAGAAATTGGAGAACAATTCAAGAAATGCAAAAGGGTTTAAAGAGAAAGACTTTGGATCCAGATTGCAACTTGGATTTGAACTTGTCACTGAAACTAGCAACAAAAGATGATGATGAACTTGAAAAGTTTGTGGAAGGTTGTGAAGTTGATGGTACTTTGTCTCTTTCGTTGTCTTCATCTTCATCCTCATCCTCAAAGCTTGGCGGATCGATGGAAGGAGATGGAAGTGGGAAACATGCAAGGATGGCAAGTACTCTAGATCTGACTTTATGAATGAGACAATTCTAAGTGAGATCTTGAGGTACTTACTTTTGCAGTAACAACATGCTTAAAGATAATTTCCTTACCTGCATACAAGGTAATAGTATTCATTATTTGATCTTTTGTTGTTGTTTTTTTGTTAATTTGCTTTGTATGCAAAATCACAAGCTAGTTGTAGGCTCTAGTTGGTGTTACCAATGAATAGATGAGTATTTTTAGCATTACAAAGCATGCACATTGGGTTCTGGGAATTGTTTTCTGATCAGTGAATATATGTATGTATGTATGTATGTATAGGTCTCCAATAATTTAGCAACTCTTGCTAGCTACCTTTCAAACAAAATAAAAATAAAAATGACATTGAACTACTCAAATCATATGAATGGAAATCGTTTAATTATGTTATCTTTACATATCTATAGCTATGTTAAACTCTTTCTCTGTATTCTTGTAAGCCTACAAGTATAGTGGATAGAGTAAAAAGTAGTTTTTTTAGTTACGTTAATCCAGGGGACATGCATTTACACTCTGTTTATTTAGGGGCTCTGACGAGTAACATTTAGGGGCTTAATATCTCCACTTTCCACTTTCTTAATTTGTAAAGCCAATTAATTTTCAACAAGAGCCACAAACAAAGCGAAAATCGCGCTTACCCATTGTAAAGTAAAGAAAAAAAAAAGACCCTATCTAGTGATTTTACTTCTTTTTAATTTTCTAAACATAAATGTTTGCCAAATCCTTCTTATAATTTAGGAAGTGAGATAGATAGATTCGTGTGTGTGTGTGTGTGTGTAATCTAAATGATACTGAATTAGGAGAAAATTAATTCCAGAGGGAGCTGGGGATGATTTTCCATTGGAATATAGATCAGCGCTTTTCGCGCTGTGTTGATGAAAATATCTGATCAGTTCCTATACTGGAAAACCAATAACGACTAATGATGCATGGAGATTCGAGAGACAGAAGAGTTAAAAGACAAACCTCTCTCTCACATGCAAGTAAACATAAACCATAAACAGTAGGGCAGCATGCACGAGTCTGCGTCTACTCAGCAAGTAACATAACAAGTTTCCAATTATTCGTTTTTGGTTTTTCAGATATTCATAAATGCAGGAATTGTTGAGTCTGAAGACAATCTTAACATTTCACAAGATCAAGCTTGAGGCAAGATGGTCTTCTACTAATTAAGAAATAACATTGAAATCTTAATACGAAGGAGAAACAATGTTTTGCCATTCAATGCTTTTCCTTAGCTTTTTCATGAGTAGCCTTTCTTCAACAGTAAGTAAGCAAGATTAGTTTCATGATAATTGCTGTTTTTGTGCAGAAAATAAGTGTAGAACGAATACGGATAGTATAAAGAATGGAATAGAAAATCTATAAGAAAACTAAATTCTGGATATTGAAAGATAAGGATTCGCTGTTATCATCATGCATGCGCCCGCGACACCCCCCCCCCAATCCCCCCCGGTATTTAATGCTTGAACGTGTTTTCCTTTGAAGAGAATTTGGATTTTCTTTTTTTGGGATTTGATTCTGGGTATCAAGTTGATTGATTGGATTTTTTTCCTCGTGACAGAAAGTCAAGGATAATGTGATTAAACGGGTGTAAAAGAGTAAAGAGTGTCAGATTTAAATGTGGTTTGCTTTGAAATTTTCGAATTTACGTTCAGGAATAATAATTTCATTCCACAACCTTAAACTCGTGTCCCAGATTCAATACGCAGCCCGATGAGGGGTTCGCCATAAAATTGAGTTGTCTCATAGTCATATGAAAAAACAAACTCTTGTGTGTGTGTGTGTGCATATATCTTCATCGCAATCCAGTTTTATATCAGGCTCGGCTTTGCTTAAACCACTTGGATTTTTCTTGTAACCGCGTGGAAAAAAAACACTTAAATTTTTCTTTGCAAATTTGTGAGCACTCTCTATCTTTTCAAGCACGATCTAGCGCAAAGACATGCATAGAGTTCTCTTTTTTATGACCTCGAACCGGAAAGGGACCTAGTAATTGTTTACTTAATGATGATGCAACATGACAACATTAATTCGAATCCCGGAATACGTACACACACGCACACAAGAATTCTCAGCAAGTTAGCGTGGTATAATTTTGAAAGCAAAATAGTTACATTAAATATAATCCAAATTAAAGAGAGGGATTGCTTTAGATGGTGGAAGGTGGAGGTCTTTACAAAGGTAGGCGAGTATGAAAGACACAATATATGCTGCTATATTTATGATTGGGCAACGCTTTCGTTTTAATTGTTTTTTTTTTTAAATCATACGGGACTGAAGAAAAGGATTAATCAATTATTGGTCGAAGACCTCGAAGAAAAGAAAATTATAGCCAACGCCTAACAAGATTCCAAAGCACTATCTGTCAAGATATATGATGGTAATTAAGAATATAAAACGCATGTGCTAGCTGCTTCAAATTATAAGAAGACAAGCCGAGGAGCCCGCACTTGCCGCGGGACAATGTTCATTGTCTTCCGAGTTTTTTTTTAGCACGCATCAAGGTTTTTTTTTTAAAAAAAATGATATACTATATGCCATATGCCTCAAGAAAAGAACTGGAAAATTGAATAGCAAAGAAAGTAATATATAGTTGCAGATTCAGGTTTTGCACAATTTGAGAAATGAAAAAAAAATCCGGATTGCTGCAAGATTTTCACGACACAGCAACGCCATAACCGAGAAGAAAAAAATTACAATTTATTATTAATCATTTACATAACAATACAAACAGAGACATTGGAAAAAAAATAAAAAATCACAAAAGGAAATGCTTGTGTTTTAGACATGAAGTGGTTTGGATCTAGCAATTAATTTAAAATCAAGAAAAGTCTAGACAATCCTCTCTATATATGCAGAGCACGATTATTTGATAACTAATAAGTATTAATCAACAGCATAATAAAATATTTGATATTGTGATAATTATTGTTTAGTAATTTAAGGATTTGAAAAACGAAATCACACTGGCAATTTAAAAAATGTGATGACATTACTGAAATCCTCAAGGAGAAGTGGCAAGAATGCTGCCCGCCAGGGCTAGAAAAGAAGAAAAGGCTTCCTAACATGATACTACCGATTATTTAATAATTATAATTTCCTTATGGCCAATTAAAACGAGACCGACCAGCCTCACTTAAAGCTAAATAAGAAACTAAAATTAAAACCTTACCGAATGCTGCTTCGTTGTGAACCCTGAAGTGATCTGAAATTGTACTTTTTCGAGGAAGGCTCGGAGAAAATATTCCTATCTGAAAGCAGTAGACTTGGGCCCGCGGGAACTGATGACTTTGCAGTAACTATCAAGTCAAATTCGGGCCTGTATGGCAGTAAACAATACTTTGCCCAAATCTAGGTGAGGTCCATCCAGGCCCGTGTAGGCCGGCGACAATCCATTGTAAGTAAGATAACGAAAAGGGCGGAAAGAACTATATGCTTCAAACTATTGAAGAACACTCCAAACGTTGTCTAATTCAGAAAACAGGCATTGAAAGTGACAGTTTTCAAAAAGTAACGATTATTTCTCACGATGCTTAACTGGGTTCTTAATCATGTCCATCATGGGATTATAGATGTCCATATACGCAATGCTTGACGCTTGCACGTTGAAGCATGAGTTTGCTGGGTAAGAAACTGCCTTCTGCCAATTGCATCGGCAAGCACCCATTCGATGGCAGACCCACCACCGTCAACCTACGCTCTCCCGCATTGGATAACCTTTGTGGTTTTCATGATTACAATAAAGATATTAAGCAATCGTAAAAATATGAAACATGCCTCAAAAGCCACGCTTCAAATTTAAACTTAACATGCAAATTAAAATTCAGAATCCAAAATCCGTTTGGATAAAATTGATCCTTTTTGTTTTTTGCAGTTGATCACATATGAGCATTCAAACCATCCTGGGATTCATACATGTGTTGCGTCTGTGCACACTTACATATGATATGCTTTTGTATATTAAAATAGACTGCATTTATACAATTCGATGTTTTACAAGACCGTTATTCTCGACTTGCTGCATACTACTTTCTGAGGTCATTTTGTCACAAGATGCCAGCTTCTGTCCAAGTAGGTGTCCATGTTATGTAGTTTTTAGTCTACTAGGAAAGCAGGAGTCGTGTTTGCTTTTGTACTGTAGAAAAACTTCGAACTTCGGAGATCATACAGTTTATCTTGGTCAATTTGCTCTGGCACACGGTTCCCAAACATGCACATCGCTTTTTGGTTTGTCCAGATTTAGGTGACATAGGTGTAGGGAAACTATAATGAAACTCATGATGTCCTGTTGATTTTTACGTGAAAATCAGCTTGTACTGCTTTATTGAGGCATTTAATAATCAAGCTGCACCGATATGCTTTTTATTTGACACCGGTCTGCAAGTCCGTTTAGAAACATATATAATGGATGGAGGTAGCTGGCACTGGAATTACAAGATAAATGTCGCTCATATTTAGTTGGAGTTGGTAGAGATGTAAAAGTTGACAGTCGTTCGCAATATGAATCATGGTTCACAAATGAACTGGAAAGCTCACCTTTGTAGTATTTACTGGTTAGACACAAGCTAAACCATTTACTCATAGGATCCTTTTTGCAGTAATGCTTTGAATTAGAGCCTTGTAAAGCCTGCACCGTATCGGCTAGCTCTTGTAACTTTCTTCATTATAAATACACACTTTTTTCCCTTCTGTGATATAATAATGTACATCCAGTGTAGAAACAATGTAAGAATTCAAGCAATAAAAGTACTATTTCCATAGTTATAAAACATGGTAAAGCCCAATAAATCAACTCGATGACCCATCAGCCCGAGCCTGAGCCGGGTTTTACCTCGAACCAATTTTTTCTACCAATATACTGTCATTTTATTTTTTTATTTTTCAAAAATTATAGCTTGGGTTAACCCGTTGACTTAGGGGTCAACACTCGGGTCAACCTGGACCTTATGCCAGGTGAACCCCGGGGTTGGATCTTATAATTGTGCATATCTCTCTTTTTACCTTCTTTTCTTTCCATGAGAAAATGTATTGAATTGGTTTATAGTTAATTATTTTTGGAGTTCCCACCCGAGGGTTATGCCCTTTTCTATTCCAGATTGAATTATATTTGATTCTAACATCAGCTACTGTAGGTAAATCGCAAGCCTTTCTGGTATATATAACGAGAGAACCAAAGAAAACATTAAAAAAAAAAAAAAGCGCCGTGGGTGCTGCTGAGACAAAGCTATGGGGAGGATTGAAGTGATCGCAGCGAAGAATTGATATAAAAGATTGAAACGTTCTTCGTTGCAAGTATAT